CAAATTACTGTTAACCTAAAAAATTTATTAATTCTAAATTAATATAACCTACTTGGTTTAAAATTTAAAAATGTATTTAATATTGTAACTTCCGGTAAAACAAGGTAATACTTTTTACTGCAATTTATAAGCTTCTGTAAAATTTAAATAAACTATAATATATATTTTTAAACACCAATTACCCCGGTAGTTGAGGCGGATTTGTTAAATAAAAAAAAAATATATAAGTATTTTTTTTAAAGAAATAAATTGATTTTAAACATAATTCTTAATAGTTATTCAGAATACTAAAACATTGTTTCAAATACTACTACTATGTACAAGTAAGAAACTATATATAAATCATCCAAGTAAAATTGCACACAAGCGTAAGTAATTAAAGACTCTGTTTATATTAGTCTGTACTCACTATTCTCAATTTGTATATACTTTATCAACTTTAATAAAACATAATATAAGCAAACAAAGTGTTCATTTCAAGCCCTGTCAATTATATCTTCTGAAATAGGTTGACTATAATACCTTAGCGGCTTAGCTAATAAATTATTATAATGTAGAGTTTTATTAACATTTGCACTTATTTTTAATTTATCTTCATAAAATAAAATAATTGTTAATTTACATGAAAAATCCAATCCAAAAAAGTGAACTTTCCACTAAACATTTTTCAAAAGGTAGAAAAACTTAGGAATCATAATTATAAATAAAAATTATAGGTTATGAATTTCTAACTCAAAATAATCTGTAAATTTTCATGATTTTGTAAAAATTCTATTTTCTGTTGCTCATAAATAATATTTTGGGTATGTTCTTTTAGAATCTAGATGTTTATGAAAAATACTGTGAATATTTACTTTTGAACCCTCTACTACAGCAAACATTTACATTTCCAATGTAGCAATATATATTGTTATATTTTCAAATAAATAAATAAAATATTTTTTTTTAGAATTTTGTTGGTATTATTTCCATTTTCTGTTTAAAACATAAATTAAAATATAATGCTTGATTTATATAAATCAAAATTTTTAAAAACAGTATTACGGTCCAGTGCCGAGTTGAGTTATATTGMCACCCTGGAGCAAATTAAAATATTCTGCCCTTGGCGCCCTTAAAACAATTATTATTAATTATAATTATATATTTTTTATTTTATGTTGATCTTCAAAATAATAATATTAAAGTTAAAACAAAATAATTAAAGACGTAAGTGTCATCGGTGGGTGGCTTCTTCATTCAAAATTTCATTATATTGTCATTGTCATTAGCTCATACTCTTATTATGCCTATTGCGTATAGATTGTGTATTTATTAATAAAGTAAAAAAAAATAAAAATGTCGATCCTCAAAAATTTGCCGCCCCATCAAACACCATAAAATGTGCTGCTGCTCCCCCGGGAATAATATTACTCCCGCTTGTCTTCCGTTAAACATGGCTCTGCTACGGTTTTGCATTCCAATATTTCCAATTTAAAATTTTGAATTTTGTTGTTGAAATTATACAATTTTGGTTCGTCAATTTCCATTTGGTTATGATTGGGTTGGCGGCGTTGGCGCCATCGATAATATATAATATTATATTTATTATATTATATAATATAAATTTTACCATATAGGTACTCTTATATTATTAATTATGGTTGGCGCTCTACTAAAATTCATTCGAAAAGATTTTCATTCACCTATGTTGGTCACACTACAAAACGTATGTTTTATAGATTGCGTTTCACATAGATTGGCTGTCCGTGGAATAGGGGGGTCAAACGATTTTCGACCATCCATTTTCTTTTCTCATCACCATCCCGTTTGTGCTAGAATTTACACCCATTTAGTTACACACGTTCACGTTTAAAAATCATCAATATGGCTAACCTTTCGCTTCGTTTGGCCACAAAAATCGGAAAACAATTAAACAACACATTACCACAGGTAAAGTATATTAATTTTATCAATACTGCTCTACGGATTTGTCATAAACGTAGTCTACGATGCCGGTCGACTAGACAGTAGTGGTGATCCTTAATTTTCGTCGATCACATTTTCTTAACTCAATTTCATTCAACGATATTAATAAATTAATAATGTACATTTTATTGAACTTGGTTAATAATATCATTTTTTTTTTTGTTATTTGTAAATTGCTACATTTATAAATAATATACACTTATGTATATAACCTTCTTATGACCTTTGATTGTAATTTAAGTATCTATAACTTTTATGCATTTAAAAGTTTATTCTCACATCAAATAGGCGTAACTTCATATTGTTATCGACTTCGGTAGGTTTTAGATTTTGCTATTGTAGAACATTGAAATATATATTAATGATAGTAAATAAAATTATTGGTCCCTACTTGAAAATTAATATTCTTAATTTAGATTTTAATTGTTATGTTTCTATTTAGATAAGCAAGGCTTCATGGACCACATCAAAACTCATCAGTCGGTCATTACATATAACATGCAGTGCAAGAGCTGCAGAAATTTCTTCCATTTTGGAAGAAAGAATTTTGGGAGCTCCACCCAAAGTGTGTAGTATCTATATTAAATGCTAGAAATGGAAATATTTATTGATATAAAATGTTTGATCTAGGCTGATTTAGAAGAAACTGGCCGGGTTCTAAGTATTGGTGATGGTATTGCTCGAGTTTATGGATTAAAAAATGTACAAGCAGAAGAGATGGTGGAATTTTCCTCTGGATTAAAGGTTTGATTTTGTTTTATTAAAGTCAACATTTTTAAATAAATTTTGTGATTCAAATTCTAGAATACATGTATCTTTTTAAGATTCAAGTTATATTTTATTCAATATATGATTTTTTAAATGATGTAATGTTATTGCATAAAAAATATAACTATTTTATCTGATTTTAAGATATCTTTAATTTGTGCCTTAATTGTGTTAGTAGTTATTTATTTTTAATTTAATTTCTTTCATTATTAGGGTATGGCCCTTAACTTGGAACCTGACAATGTTGGAGTTGTAGTATTCGGTAATGACAAGCTAATTAAAGAAGGCGATGTCGTTAAACGTACTGGTGCTATTGTGGATGTACCAGTTGGTGAAGACCTTCTTGGACGTGTGGTTGATGCCTTAGGTAATACTATTGATGGTAAAGGACCATTGACATCTAAGCTTAGGTACCGTGTGGGTATCAAGGCCCCTGGTATCATTCCTCGTGTGTCTGTACGAGAACCTATGCAGACTGGTATTAAGGCTGTTGACTCACTTGTACCCATTGGTCGTGGACAAAGAGAATTGATCATTGGAGACAGACAAACTGGGTCAGTAAAATCTTAATATTAATTTTATAGCTGTATTATTTATTTTATAAATCGTACATTATTTAGTAAAACTGCTTTGGCCATCGATACTATTATTAATCAAAAGAGATTTAATGATGCCCAAGATGAAAAAAAGAAACTGTACTGTATTTATGTTGCCATTGGACAGAAAAGATCAACTGTTGCCCAAATCGTAAAAAGATTGACAGACACTGGTTAGTATAAATGTTATTAAGGAATAGTGTTGTTATTATTACTAAAATTTTAAATCAAAAATTTGTTTATTAAAATTTTAACTTAATAGGTGCAATCAAATATACTATCATCGTATCAGCTACAGCTTCTGACGCTGCTCCTCTGCAATATCTGGCTCCCTACTCTGGATGTGCCATGGGTGAATTTTTCAGAGATAATGGCAAACACGCTCTTATCATCTATGATGATTTATCTAAACAAGCTGTTGCTTACCGTCAAGTATATACAAATTTTGTAATAGTAAAATTCATTTATATATATATATAACATTTTTATCTTTTATTAGATGTCCCTGTTGTTGAGACGGCCACCTGGTCGTGAGGCCTACCCTGGTGATGTGTTCTACCTTCACTCTCGTCTTTTAGAACGAGCAGCTAAGATGAGCGAAACTTTAGGTGGTGGATCTTTGACTGCATTGCCCGTAATTGAAACCCAAGCTGGTGATGTGTCTGCATACATTCCCACTAACGTCATTTCCATCACTGATGGACAGATTTTCTTGGAAACTGAATTGTTTTATAAAGGTGTCCGTCCAGCTATTAACGTAGGTTTATCTGTGTCTCGTGTCGGTTCTGCTGCCCAAACTAAGGCCATGAAACAAGTAAGTAATAGATGAAATTTTCATTCATTCTACGAATTTGAATTCATAAATAAACTTTTATTGTAATTATAGGTGGCTGGTTCCATGAAATTGGAATTAGCTCAATATCGTGAAGTAGCAGCTTTTGCTCAATTTGGTTCTGATTTGGATGCAGCTACTCAACAACTTTTGAACCGTGGTGTTCGTCTGACTGAATTGTTGAAACAAGGACAGTATGGTAAGTAAATACAATTTATAGTATCCATAATTATGATGAATTATTTTGTAATCCCTTTTTGTTTTTGTTGTATGGTGATAATTTGAGATTGAATTATTAAAAATTTAAATTTGTAATTTAGTGCCAATGGCCATTGAAGAACAAGTTGCTGTTGTCTACTGTGGTGTACGAGGATTCCTTGATAAAATGGAACCATCCAAAATCACTACTTTTGAAAAAGAATTTTTACAGCACATCAAGTACTATTCTTTTTATACTTATAATCTATACAATTAACAATTAATTACATAATCTTAATTTTATTTTTAGAACCTCTGAGAAATCATTATTGGAAAGCATTGCAAAAGAAGGAAAAATCACAGATGATACTGATGCAAAATTGAAATCAGTTGTTACTAATTTCTTAGCTTCATTCAACGCTTAAGTATTTTTATATGATTGATAACAAAACAAGTTAGTTCTCAAAATGTTTCCAGCTCTTTTTATAAAAGGGTTATCATCGTTAAGCCTACTGTTGTTCATAGTACCATAGCCATTAAATTTATATTTACTTTACCCTTTTATATAAATTGTGAACTACATTCAAAGAACTGGATTTCCATAATAATTATAATTAGTAATAAATTTTTTTTTTTTTTTTTCTACCTTCTATTGTTTTATTTACGATATGCGTTGGACAAAATTAAGGAGTTGATTTATAGTAAACATTGTTAAAAAAATATTTTATTTTAATTTTATGAAAACAAATAATTATTAAAATTATAACAAAAAATTGTAAAACTATAACAACAGTAATCATTCATGTTTTTCCATTTTATTGCTTTGAATTTTTTCTGCTGGATATATTGCCCATAATCCTAATTGAGCTGAGCTTAATATCAGTGCTACTGAACATTGAGTCTGAAACAATTAATAATGATTAACCATGCAATCAATTCTATTAAAACTGAATTATCGTAATAATCATTAAATATTTTTTACTTACAAAAATTATAACGTTTTTTATGTTGACACTATATAAAAGCCATAAAATACAAAGAACAATTGAATTTATCAAAATTGGCTTAGGATGTCCAGACCATTTTTTTGTTCTTATAGTTTCTCTCTATAAAGAAAACATTTCTTATTAATTTTTTTAACTAATATCCTATTAATTAATACATATATGATGTTTTTGAACATTTTGAATGTTTTAGAAGAATTGTGTTTAATTTTTTTTTACATACAATGGATAGTAATGGCCAACCAATTAGTGACAGGTGTATGAACGATACCATAATTGGGAATCTTGTCACAACTAAATCTGTTGATTCTATAAATGAATAAATCAAGAAAACTGAACTCAATAATGCCGTCTTAAAAACTGTTTTTATTACATAAGTCTGCAAGTATTTAAAATCAGTTTTAAAATTTTAAAACAAAATAAGCTAAAATTTGGAATAGTTACTTTTTTATTTGAATAGTACCAATAAAGCGCTAAGTATAATGTATTAATTAATAGTCCCATTCCATGAACAAACATCACTGTTTGTAAATTCAAGATGAAACCTTGTCGATAAAATAGTGAACTCCTAAAATTTTAAATCCGTTGATGAGCTGATAACCTTAATTTAAACAAATTAGACTCACCTAAAAAGTGCACCAACAAATGTAGATAAATTAACGTGGTCAGATGTCTTTTTCTTCACAATATCCTTACATACTAACCTGTATCAAAAACAAACTCAAGTTATTTAAGTATTTATAGCTTTTGATTTTATTAGTTTATTACTTATCATTAAATAGTAGAATTATTTAGAGATTAAAACATATTTAGTTTTGTAACAGAAGAAAAATTTTGAACTATAACTGTTCATGACTCCCTCGAGATATAAATGAATGAATAAAAAAACGATTAATTAGTAAGTAGTGACTTAAATATTTTAAACTACAACAATTGTAAAGGAAATTACCTAATATCAGTAGCGTACTTTGAACTGGATTTTGCAGGAGGAATTATACTGGTGTTTATTATGTATCAAAAAATTAATTCTTCCCGAAAATTTCAGAGATATGATCTCCCCCCTCGTTAGTACGTCACTTTTAAATATGCTATATACTTTTTTGTATTTAATTTATATGTATATATTATAAAACAAATGTAGAAGGATATGGAATAAATTTCTTACAATCTAGCAAAAAAAATTCTTTAGGTTCTGTTTTACCAAGACAAATTTTTAAGTGAATTAAGCGTGTTAAGTTATGACTTTTCGCCGATTCACGGCACACGGATTTTGATTGCTTTACTTAACACAATTTAAGCACTACGAGTTTGAAAAAAGTTATAAAATTCCTACTAACTGTAATAGGTAAATCTCTCCTGATCACATTATACAATAATTAAGTGGAATTCAATAATAGCATCTTTTGACAATTTGCCATGTCAAAGACCCCTCTGTAATGCGAATGTAGTCCCCCTCGGGCCCCTCGTGTCCTGCAGCGACCAGCGATGTCTTACGTAAAAGGTTCATTGCAACGCAGCAATGGATCGACTGAAAAAGCACGTTTTACCTTTATCAGTAAATAACAGGTACCCAATATAAATATTATTAAGTTAATTTTAGTTTTATTTATAGGTTACAGTATACCGTAAAACAATAGACTACAGAGCAGTATTGTTTCGTGACAATTAACTTATCATTTTACTCCACCGTGATTTACGATCAAAAATTATGTCAAAATAATTGTTTAAAATTGGGAGTTGATTCAAGTGGTACAATGTTTCAACTTGCAAATATCGCCATAGGCGGATCCAGAGTTTTATATTTGAATGTGCCCGGCTCTTTTTTGTATTTATTTTTTTTATAATACAGAGGAAATGAGGCTATAAACAAATAACATCACATTAAATATTGAAAAAATAAATGAAATACAAATTACCAAAAGTATTTTTATTATTATTATTAGTATTTTTTTTATCGTTATCGGCGCGATGTCGATTTCCAAGAAAAGGCATTATTTTTCGCTAAAAATAGTTACCACCGCTATTAGACCGAGTCTGTGACGTTTTCGTATTGACGACAATAACATTGAATAATAATATCATAACGATAAACAAATACGTGTAGAACTGTTGACTAAATATACAGGCTTCATTAATGATGTAAAATAACAATATTATTAATAAAAAAATGCATGTTATTATTATTTTTATTRAATATTTGAATATTTCATTATTTCAGACTAATTCTGAACACTTTCAGTTGTACTTACAAAAAACTAAAATTAAATTAATGTGTATATACTATATTATTAATTATTATTATTTAATTTGTTCTCTTTATATTAGGGTGTGCCTAGGCGCACCCCGTAGATCTGCCTATGAATATCGCTATGTATAAATGATAAATTAGCCACCACATGTTTGTATTAATTACATAATATGATTTGTACAGTGGCATGTATAGTATACGTCGTGTACCCAGTGGCGTATTCAAGGGGGTGGATTAGGTGTTTACCCCTTCCTCCCCTCATTTCGAATTCTTGCTACGCTACTGCGTATACCTACTTCATACCTTTTAAAAAAAAATTTTCTATGCATGTGTTCATTGAAACGACCCAAAGGACTTTTGTCAATGCGTATCACAACACAAGTGGGGAGTAGGGAGATTATGTGATGTGATCTATTTATTTATATATATATCACTACATCCAACAGGAGACATGTGCGGTCTTTACTCCCAGATGGAGGGGGTCCTAGACGGAAACTGGATGACCCCGTGACGCAATCGGACGACAGCACGGGAAATTAGTGATCGTTTAAGAATTATGAGACCATGCAACTTTTTTTTGCATTTTGTTCTGAATCGAATTGATGACTGTGTGAGTCGTAATCAACTGCGCCACTACGGCACCCTTTTTTTAATTAATAACATTAAACAAATTGTTCCCCCCCGTTTAGGGCCACTGTATCTGCCTCTGATTGGAGCACGTTATTTTACTTGAGGGCCAGTACATATAATACTTTAATAAGATACGAAATATTTAAATGCAATAAATAAATATACAAAATAAATTTAAGTTGTGTTCCCCCGTTCTGCATATTTATACGAATAATATTGTTATTTTTGTTAGGGCTACGAACTCCGCAACAACAATGCTTGAAAAAATATATTTAAATTTAACAGAAAACGTTCTATCTATAAACTATGGACAATTTACAAGTACCTACACATCAAGAATATAATGTGAAAGTACGCATATTTTTTGAAAATAAGACAACTAACACTTTGTATTTAATTTCACGGTTTTACAAAATAAATCTATATCATACYTAGAATATCCTACATCCAACGGAAAATTACACGCAAATGCAATATGTCACGAAACTTGGGCATTATCTCTCATTAGATTTATTAATCATTGTATAATTTAAGATAGATCGAAGCATACAATTATCATTTTATTTTTTATCAAAGATAATTTTTACAACCTATATGATAATATATTAACTAATCAGAGTTGTAGCACTGTTCTATGTAGTCACTACTCACTATGATATATAGAATAATGTATTTACATAGATAACTAATCATTTATTATCTATGTGTATTTATGTATTAATGACCATGACGACATGACGTGACCAACGTGAGTGAAGGGCATCCACTAACAATTTTTACAATTATGAATCCTTAATAAGGTTGGATTATTTTGAATTTTTATAATTTCATAAAATATTACTATTGTGTATTTACCATTATTAGAGCGCATACCCTAAGGGAGTAAAGGGAGATCAAGATTAATATTTGTTTGTTAAATTGTTAGTCGTTACTTGGGCATATGTCCATTCAGGTGAAGATTTTGTATCGGATGTAGTGTTTACATCATTACATTTTTCAATTTTGTTTATGATATAATTATTCTAGGAAAAAATATATTGAGCATTGGGGTACCTAAGGTTAATTAAATACGTAATAATTTAAGAAATAAATTAATCTAATTGTATGTGAAGAATAACAATTTCTTCTATATTATTTACACCAAATCAGTTATTATGGTAGGTCAAATCAATCACAGTGATCCATAAATTAAGATGAATAAAAACATTACCTGATAATGATTACATAATATTAGATAGTACTTACAAAGGTGTTAACATCATTGCGGTGGATGCACAACCTGCAGCAAACGACACTGCTTTTACATACACTTCGTAAATATCCATATCTTCAGTAGTTGTACACTTTTATTAACTAATAATAAAATACAACTAGCGAAAGCGTGAACTTCAAGATGTTGAGTTAATAAATGAACAAAAAGTGAGAGGCTTACCAAGTAATTAAAAATGCACGCAAAATAATTTATATCTAAAAAATAATATTTATGAGTGGTCGTGAATATTGTGCAATACTAATTATCCATAATTAAACTGATAGTGATAATGTAGGTACATAAGTACATTATTAGGTATGGCATTTTTTTCTCTCAATTAATAAAGAAAGAAAAGTACATTCTTTTTTAACATGGGATTGTATATTTCAATGTGATAAATAAAGATAACACAAACTATCAAAAAAATATTTATCATTCAGCTATCCACACTATAATTACATAAGTAATAGATAAAATAGATAAAATAGATAATATATATATATATATATTTCAATATACACGGCTTATTTCTTCATTAGCAATGTTCTCTTTAACTTGAACCGTTTTCCTTACATGAACTCTTCATAATCATCCACCGTATAAGCTGAAAACTCATTGTAATCAGGAATCTGGAATGACAGTAAAATAATATTATTGTATCAGTAAAATCTTAAAGTTCAAAATATGCAGATAAAATATTTAGATACAAGTTTAATAAATTGATTCAGTTGAATCTAAGACATCAGATATTTATTTAATAATTATAATAATTATTAATTTATGTTTTTATAATCTATTCACTATATTGTAGAAGTACCATAGTGGACGTCAAGGTAATCGGTCAAAAAGTCTGGGGACAAAAGGTCCAGTAAGGAAAAAGTTGGACAAAAAGTCTGGATTCATTTTTTGATTGCCGGACAAAAAGTCCAAACACATTTTTAGTGTTGGACAAAAAGGCCGAAAATACAAAATTGTTTATTCAATTTTCATTTATAATTATAATGTACCTTATATTACATAATATTATTATGTAGGTATATATATAGTATACACATGTAATATTATATATATATATATATATACATAGTCAGTTCATATATAATTATTATTTATTTAAAAAATGTACCTTTTTTTTTCCATTTTAACCGACGAAGATTTAGTACCTATTTAGTAGCCTTTTGTAGGTATGATACTATAATATTATATTATGGTAGATAAACTGTAGACGTACGGCTGCGATAAACATTAGATCTACCTACCAAACTATAGCGGATTTCCTTAATATTTATTTAGGTATTAGAAATAATAAGAAATAAGAAAATATAAAAAAAAGTAGGTACAATGATATAATAATGTAATAAAAGTATTACAATTAGGTACATTTTTTAAATAAATAATAATTATATATGAACTGACTATACATATATATATAATATTACATGTGTATACTATATATATACCTACATAATAATATTATATTATACAAGGTACATTATAATTATAAATGAAAATTGAATAGAGAATTTTGTATTTTCGGACTTTTTGTCCAACACTAAAAATGTGTTCGGACTTTTGGTCCGGCAATCAAAAAATTAATCCGGACTTTTTGTCCAACTATTTCCATACCGGACTTTTTGTCCGGGATTCGGACGTCAATGTCGCGACTAACGCCAGTTCGCTTGATTACATGTTGCCATATGTTGTATTAATTCATTTAAAAAAATTAATGGATCTTTGGGGTTTTTTTCAAACAGTGAAAAAGATGACTTTGAATTTTTTAAGAGGAGGGTCACCATGAATGCAAAAACGGATAAAAATAAAAAAACAACTATACATCAGCAAAATTGAAATTTTTTAGAAATGCAACATCAAGGTGTGAAAATAGATCGATAACTGTTTAGCAATTATCTACGTTAAATCATATATATACAGGGTGTAACAGAAAGATATGACAGATTTGTGTAAGATTTACATGTAAATCTGTCATATCTTTCTGTTACACCCTGTATATACCATAAATACGGTGTTTTTTTAAGTTCTTTACAGCAAACAATTGTGCAGGTTGGAAGATAGAGTTAGAATTAAAGTTAGAGTAAAATCCAAATTACAAACAAATTTAATGTTTAACAAAAGCACACAAGTGAAATATAAATTATAATACATAGTAATTAATACTTCTATATTGATCATTACAGAGGTAATGACAGCAATCAAATGAAGGAAATGGTACAGAGTAAAGTTATGAAATAGCAAGGTAACAAGCTATTTTTGGTTTAGAAGTAACTTCTAACTTAACGAGTTACATTTTTTCCCATGTTTTCCAGTAACTTATGAATTAATTTATTTTAATGTCACATTAAGTTAATTTTATTTCTAGACCAGATTAAAAATATATTTAATAAGAAAAATAAACAAAATAACCCAAAATATTAAATGTATTGATAAATAAATAATGATTTACAATTATACTTATTATATTGCAAATTCACAGAATATATTAAAATATGATCGTTAATTAAGTCGTTGAATTTTTTTCCCCCATTATATGGTCCAATAAGATAAGTCAACTACTTGGAAACAAAAAATATTGCTTCAAAAAGTGCCAAAACTATGTACCAAACAAATTAACATTTTCTGCCAATGGAAAACACATTGAACACAGATGATTATTTTATTTTTTTGTTACGTTTTCATTAAATTTTAAAGTTTAAAATATCACATGTACAACAAATAAATATATAACAATATTGTATAATCAAAAAAAAAAAAAAAATTTGGGAAAAATTGTCGAGTAAAATTCTAGTGATCGCTATCAACATTCTTAATTAGTAACCTAGTACATCTAACTATTTAACATCATGCTTATACAGTGAAACCTGACTAAACGGACACCTCTCTCAACGGACAAAATGACCAGATCCCAGCAAAAAAATAGGCATTCCAATGTATTTCGACCTGTCTATAACGGACTCCTTCTATTACGGACACTAATATTTTACTCGACAATTTCATAATGGACAAAAATACATACATACTACGTTGATAAGAAACAGTTTAGGACATTAAGTGAAAACACGGATTACGACCAATTACATTATAGCCGATTACGATAACGCTAATTACGAGTACCTATTCAATTTATAAAGTTTAAATATGTACAACAATTTAGGTTAATAGAATTTAACAGAAATATCCAGATATAAATTGCAATATGTAAGTATAAATGATAATCATGAGTATCAAATGTTTTTATTCAATTTCTATCAGTTTGCAGTCAGAGTATTAAATTTATAATGTATGTGTATAATATATAATACGTATTAATACAGATTATACCCAATACATATTATAAATTAAAAAACAATACAAATGTACATACATATAGTAATTTTTAAAACATTGAAACCTGTCTACAACGGACAATTATTTTGGTCCCCCGACTGTTCGTTATATACAGGTTACACTGTAGTTAAAAAATATTATTTTTAAGAATAAAATTATAATTAAAAACAAACTTACAGTGCTATTGTCAAGTCGCAGTTTAGCTTTTCCTTTGCTTTTATTTTTTTTATTTTTATCACCCTTTTCTGCTTTCATTTTTTCTGTACTCATATTATCTACACTTGCTTTCAACTTCCTCAAATCATTCATTGACACTAAAACAATACAACATGAATAAATTGTATTATATAAATAAATTATAATACACTTACATGTAACAGATAAATTCCTAATAAGTTCTTCAATAAAATCAGAATAATGATCAGATTTAGAAAAACTTTGTATTTTCTTTTGAAGAGCTTGTTCAAAAACAATGAAGTCTTCTTTTGATTTTGGATTCATGCGGTCTATTGAATCTTCATCACTTTCATCAACACCTAACATTTCTTTAGCTACTTCCAAATCGGCTTCTTCTTGTAATTTTTGTTGTAATAACTTTTTTTCTTCTGGTGTCATGTTTGAATTTTCTTCTGCTTCCAAAAACTTACGTCTCATTTTTTCATTTTCTATTTTTTGTTTTCGCTAAAAATAAAATATATTTAGGATAAGCAGAGCAAAAAATATATTGGCTTGAAAAAAATATATTTCAGAAAAGTTGTTATGTCTATACAAAGGTATCAATGTTTTTTCTAACTGTAACTTGAAAATATTAAAAACAAATTAACAACTCTTTTTAATGAGTATTTGAAATTCAAATTTGATAAAACAGTCAGACAGACAGTTTACAATATACAAATATAAACTTGAGTTAAAAGGACTAATACTTTTCATATAGATTATAGAAAACAGATATATATTTATCGAATCCATTCACAATCAAAGTATAATGATTGCAATCAGAGGCTTTTTCTGAAGTTAAGTAGGTACCTAAGTAGGAAAAATATACCATTTAACATAGAAAATTATTTTACCCTTTACTAAAAAAAGGGGGAAATACCTAGAGTTAAATGACATGTACAAACATACTATACTATGTACCGTTGTTTAAGGAAAATATGTATTCACAACTACTGAATACTAATATTTCTCCAATACACAGAAGTTCAAGGTCACCCATAAAAATATAAACAGGGAAGAGGGACAGTCAAAAATTTTTGATAGCATAGCACATTATATTTATTTATTATTACAAATGATAAGAACATTAAAAACATATTCACTAAATAGGAGGGAGGGGAGGTGGCAAGCTCCTCCTAGCAGGCACCAATGCAGTAGAGTTGCCTATATTTATCCAGAAAACACGAAACATAAGATATTAATATGTCAAAACTCTACTTGAAATTTTAAAATACTCAACTTGGAATCAATGAGAACTTGGAAATTTTTAAATTGACCTAACTACAAGTAAAAACAAAAATAGTCCACTCAACTTTATTTGTTTTTAAAAATAAACTACTCACTAACTCTTACTAAATTTGTTTTGTTTTATAAAACCTAAGAATTAAATCTGTTAGGTCATACCCTAATTGTATTACAATCTATCGATTTAAAATTGTTAATACTATGATTCAAGGTTTTTAACTTCTTATTAATTTCTGAACAAAATAAATCGATATTTCTGGTTATTTAGTGATATGAATGAGGTAAAAACTAAAAATTTTAAGTACTTCTCTTTCAGCTATTTTTTGTTCCAATTTTGATTTGGTCTTTTTCTCAGGGACTTTTGTCTCGATTTTTGTAGTTTCTTCTTCTTCTGCATCCCAGCTATCCTAAAACAATTAAAAAAAAAAAAAAATTAATTTAGCACATAAAAATCACAAAATAGGCAAACAAGCACTTAAAAGTAATGAGAACCATGTAATTTTTTATGAACAATATTAAAAATATATGTACACATAAATTAAATCATTACACCTTTTCACAATATAGGTATTACACATAAACACGAGTAGCTATCAAAGTGTCAAATTCCAACCTATTATAAATTATCTTAATTGTATGAAAAGAATGTACAATTTTTTTTATGTACTTCATTTCCATAAAATAAATTTAATTAATATAAGTATAAATCCACTAATAAATTAAGAGTTAATCCTAAGCGTAAATTTAAATCTACAGCAATACACTATTTTTCATGAGAACTTAAAAATCTTAAATCATTAAAAATTAACTTGACTAACTATCAAGATCCTAAGCAGTTCACATGTAAGTGTTAAATTTTGAAGTGTATTTTATCAAAATAATCTTATACTCGGTTTTTATTTTTACCATATATTGTACAAAAGCCTATAATAGGTTGGGCGATGGCAACCCACATTCACTTTAAATTATGACCAACTTAAACTTATCAAGATATTTTATATCTCAAATTATAATAAAAATTAAGTATTAATTATTATTAGATATATGTTAACAATTAATAATCTATGAGCATAGGTATTAATTTATTTTCCATTGGTTTTGAGTTTTTTTTTTATTAAAATACATATTCTTTACAACTAAATGGTGGCAATATATCATGAAACATTGAAAATGTCAGTGCAGTATGTTTTAAATCTGCACATTGCTTTAGAATTGTTTTATTATTCAAGGTCAAATGAGAATTACTCATGTACTAAAATGAAAAATGGTTATCATGGACCAAAATGCATACATAAATGGGTAGTTAAGAATACAGTGGTACCCAAAAAACAACATATTATAAAAATATAGTAGTCAATACATCATTGAATATTTCAATGATGTACTGACATCCATGTTTTTCAACTTTCACTTAAGGGTTGAAAGTCGATGGAAAAAACTAGGCTTTTAGACCAAAAGCCAGATTATCCAGGTATCTAGGTATAGACTTTAAGAATAAATAGAGAATTACTTATTGTTGACAATAATGTATTTATGACCGAAATAATTTTTTAATTTTTTATGATATTTGATGTCCATGCCAGCTGATGGCTTTTAGGAAATTTTGACGGAAAACGATTATAGATTTAACTTACATGCACTTCTGTTCGTTTACTTTTCACACACTTACAATTCACTTTAAAGTTATTTTAAATTGCCTATATAGACTTCTTTAAAACACGACCTACTGCAGCCCCCTTTATCTTAAGTTTTCATACGCTACCCTCCAGAAATATACCACTTACTCCTAACATTTTATTTTTTCTATTCATAAAAATTATGTAAGTTATGTCAATAATACAAAACACTGTCACAAATTAGTTTATTATGAAAAAAATTATTGTCTAACTTTTATATTTTCTTCTTCATCTTCGCCTTCCCATTTGTTAAGCTTAGCGCCACCGACAATATCAGCAACAGGAATGACGGGCTTAGCGGGTTCAAAATTATCAGCATCTGAGAAAGACAAAAATTAATTAAAACATACATTTGAGACTTAAAACCATACAAAATGATTTTTCACATTTCATTTTTAGTTTAAAATTGTAATAACATCACTAACCCCACTCCATGATCACGTGTCCCTTAAGGTTTTATTCACTTTACACAAATAACCTTGGACGTGAAGCTTTGTCAGAAAGGACTTATGTAGACTGCGACCGACGTGAGAATTAAGAACCGTGATGCGTATTCAGCCAATGTTCCGTTGCGCCAAACCTTAGTATTAAACATAACAAATAGGAGGAAATTTGGAAAGCGTATACGTATCGCAACTTAAACCAAACACGATTTCGCCGATTCAATGCTTTTGGCAAAATATTATCGTTACCAACCCATGGAAAGAAATAAGAACTATACATAAGACAGGTTGTACAACACTCCAGAAACGAAGTATCTGGCAGGTCGCCAGTTTTGTCCCCGAGAATCAAGATAACAGCCAGATTAAATCTCATGGAATAAACGCTAAAATTGGGAACCTAGGCTAAGATATATCTTAGTCCGTGGCTAATACACTAAATTTGCGAATAGTTTATTTTTATGGAAATCGGAAATTCGGAAATAGAAAATGGACAATTCGAATATTTTAATTCATGAGTTATTACTAGAACACGGATTTATATTGTGCATTAAAAACTAACCAAACATACAATAAACCATTTTAAATACGCATAAATATATTTATTTTTAGAACATATGCACTAAAAGTTTAAATATGCATAAAATATTTAGTAAAAAAATTTACTTTTTTAACATTAAATTAAAACAATATATTAAAAAAAAAATATGAAACCCTACTATAAACTCTCTCTTCATTTTTATCTGAAATAATTTTGCTTTTTTCAAATCTATTTTTTTGTTAAATAATGAATTATAATTACATAATTAAATGATACATTTTAAAAATCAAGTGAAACTTTTTATTAATTGAGTAAAAACTTCGAACTAACTAGTCAAAAAAATAAATCGAATGAAAACTATTTAAACTATTCTGCTCGAATGATGAATATTTGAACTAATCGAATGAATAAAATGTAAAAGCTATTGATTAAACTATTCAAATAGTTTTAAAACTATGACTATCGAAGTATCGAATATAGCGTAACTCTCCGAATGTTTAGAACTTTAAACTAAATTATTCGAATAGTTATGGAATAACTATCAAATAGTTCAATAGTGACTATTCGATAGTATCAATGTGTATCAATTATCAATACACCTTGGATAGTGCTCATCACTAATAAATTTTCCATTGAATGCATTATATTATTTCAAATTGCAATTTACAATGATGCAGTTTTGACTTTTTTTTTCGTACCTTATGTACAGGTTTAAATTGAATTCAAATTGTACTTTTTAGAAGTGAATGTTAAGACAGATTTTTTTAAATAATTGATAAAATCAGGGATTTTTATTTTTTACACAAAAACCGGTTTTAAATTAAATTGATTTAGTTAGGTAGTCTAAAACAGTAGTTACCTACCAACCTAAATTTTCAGTAAATATAAYAATTTTTCATGGATAATGTTTTAAATTTTCAAGCTTGTGACAACAAATTAAATTAAATTGACATTTATAGAAAAAAATTTAATTTAAATGTCAGTAAACAGTTATAAACCAATAAAAATATTTCAAAAATGTTATTAAGTTTATAAAATTATAAAATAAACATTTGCTGAAAATTAGAGGAATCGACGGTTATTYGTTTTTGGATTACAACAAAATAAGATAATTATTCCAYGAGAAATCAAACGAATTTCAAATACTCCAATGTTGTTAAAGTTTGAAATTCTAAACAGTCATAAAAATGTAATTTGATTTTCTGATAAACTAACTTCTGACTTAATGAGTATGAGTATATATATAATAGGTACTATATTCAGTAGGTACCTATTTAAATCTTAGATATAAATAAAATTTTTTTTATAAATATTTAACTAAAAATAAATTGTACAGGGTGATTCTATTAAGTGGGTACACTAATTATCTCGAAAAGTATTTACTTTTTTCAAAATATCTTTTTACATGTTTCAGTTGTTAAAAACCCAACGTTTTTATTTAAAAAAAATATTTTTTTAAATATTTTTTATCATTATCATTTTTTAAGTTTTTTACTTTTTTGAATGACAACATAGAGTTTTAATTTCATATTCCAAAGCAGAATATTTATCTAAGTATTTTGATTCATAAAAATCGAATTTAGGCCTAGTAGTTTTTGAGTTATTGTAATAATTTAACTTTTGAAATTTGATTATTGTATAATAGAACAATGTTCTGTGATTGTATTGAAATTATGGTATTGATTTTGCTGAAATAAATAAATAAATAAAAAATATACCTAGGCATATAGACAATAAGGGCTCCGCTTAAAATCAAAAACAAAAACATTTCTAGGTTGTGACCCTTGAGAATTCAACAACAGTTATACACTTGTACAGTTATACATTAAATATACAGTTTTAATTTTTTCTAATACCTAGTGTCACTAGCGCTTATGATTAATATAAGGTCTATGATTGAAACTTATAACAGGTACTTGCTAGGCGATGAAAAAAAAATTCACAAATCAACAATTAATTTTAATATTATGCAACATTTTTAGCAATCATTATTATTTTTATAAAAATATATTACAATCCAATCTGTTTACGTGAATCAATAGACAATAAGACAGTAACAAGGACCAATTTATTTTTAGTTGATGAGGAATTTGAGACAGTATAAAGATTGTTATTTAAAATGATAAAAGTGAATTTTTATTTGGTGATTGCACAATCATAGTGAATCATTTTATCTAAAATCTTGAAATAATTAGTAATTACTCAACAAGCAAATAATAAATTGGAAATATAATAATAGTTACTAATAAAGAAAATAGTTAATCCAAAAAGAAATAGGCTTTTGCTTTTTTGACTCTGGCCATTAATGGTGGTTGACATTTTGATTTTCCCTAAACAAAAAAAAAAAATGTATTTATATCATATCATTATCAATGTTCACACAAAATTGAAATTAATTATAAGTAGATATGTATGTACTGTCCACATCATAGGGTGCACAGGGGGGATGCCGGGTATGTCATGGCATCCCCTGTAGTCTGCTCAGCTAGCTTGTTTTATGTTTTTACTTTTAATAGTGAAAACTATCAATATTATCATAATATTCATCACAAACATAACAGAGAATTTTGTAGTTATGTGTTACATTTTTTTAGAAAAAAATTCTGACTTATGTTTTTTTTT